TTTCAAAGGAAGCTTAAAATCTACAGGAAGTCAACAAAAAATGTTATGATTTGAAATATTGAAAATTTTAGGGTTAAAAAAATAGAACAATTGCTGTGTAAACTTTAAGGCAGCGCTGAAAGCTTTAAAATGTTTCTGCTAACCCTACCCTACTGCAGTGTCCCGGGTGCAGGCTCCTCCAGCTTCCACGTCTGTGGGATGCTCCCGTGACCATTTTCTACCTCCTTCCTGACCCTGCATGGAAACACGGCACATGCAGCCTGGACGTTGTTTTTCAATAGATCAACGGGTTTTTTTTTTAACTTTAATGAGTGCAAAGTCTATAGTCTTTTTACCATTTTAAGTTATAACTTAAATATTGTACACCTGGCTCACGCATTGTGTGCTTAGAATGAACAAAGCTATCTGGAAAGAAAAGCAACCATGTCCTTTAGGTCTGCTGTTCTAAGGTAGCCACATTTAACCGTCTGATTTTAAGCCTTCAAATGGGAAGATGCTTGTTTCTAATGTTTATTTTTCTACTTCCTTCATTTATCAAACTTAGACATTGTTTTCTGACTTCCTGCTCTGCAAGATTAAACTTAAAATAACCAACCCAACGCCATGTCCTTCCCGGTCTCCTGCTGGCATGCTTTTCTCAGTCGTTGCAGTTTCGCCTGTAGACCTCCATCAGTTCTGCAGACTCAAGGTCTGTCGCTCTTCTTTAATTATAGGAAAACTCCTTCAGAACCACATTAGTATAAGTGTGAGAATGGATGCGCTTCTAGAATTTTTTAATCCATGCTTACAATTTATAATTCTCTGACAACGTGAACTTTTTGTTTTCTGTGTAATTATCACATTGTATCTTCTCTTTAATCACAGCGCAGAGAAGTATCTATCAAGCGTCCCATAATTAGCGTATAGACCGATTCCACACGCAGAAAATGAGTGCGTCCATTATCACAATAATTTTCTATTCTTCCTGGGAGCTGAGCGAAGGACCTAAATGTAGCCTTCTGTCTAAGTCCTCCACCCTCCTATCCCTGCATTCGAATATCAGTAAAATCCGATGAACTCTCGCTGTAGACGTCGTAACTACCGCAACCACACTAAACTTTTCTTATAGATCTTGCTCTTTCTAATCATCAATGTTGCTCACCTCTTTTAAAAATATTAGATTTATTTTTGACTGGTGCATAAAATACAACATATGAAAAGTTTTCCCTTTGATGAGGTGGAATGCTATTCTGACGCACGTGCGCACTGTGTAATGTTCAGTTGTGTCATTCTGTACCATGGAAACTTTGGAAATCCTTACTTGAGCTTTTCGCGCTGTGGTGTGTGCTGGCACCTGCAGCGGTCAGCTGGCCGCGCGGTCCCGGGACGGACGCTCCTGCCCGGGCGCTCGGGCGCGCTCCCTGCACGCGCGTCCCTTCCCTCCGCAGCCTCGGAGCAGGCCTTGGTGCTCTCGGCCGCTTCGGGTTGCACGTCTGAGGGAGGCTGTGTGGTCCGCCCCTTCCTGTGCCGGGCTTGCTTCCCTAACACGATGGTTTCTACTTCTCTCTGCGCATCCAGTCTGCGGTGACAAGGTCGTATCTTGGGCCAAGTTGCAGCGCGCGCGTGCGTGCGTGCGAGTCCCACACTTCCCTCATCCACTCGTCAGACCATGCAGTTGAGGCTGCTGCGCATGGCATCGCACACGCACAGGAGTTCGCGCGTCGTCCACATGCGGGCTTCTCGTTTTGAATGCATTATATACCCGGCGGTGAGGCGGCTGGATCCTACGGCCGTGCGTCAGTTACAGGTAAATTCTGCGGCCCTGCCTGGCCTGTTGCACGACCGCGCGACCTCCACCGCCCCAGCGCTCCAGGACTCCCGGGTGGGGCCAGCTCCGATCCGTCTCCGCGTCGCGGGGCACTCGGTTCTTCCGCTTCCTCAGAAGTCACTTCAGGCAGACCTGGAAAGTTTTCATGCCAGAAGACGTGCCGGTGCTGGTGCTGTCTTCTTCCGCGCTTCCTTTGTAAATGCAGCTGTAGCCTCAGCTCTCCCGCTGGCTCCTTGGCTCGCACGCGACAAGCTCCTCCTCTGCCTCGGAAAGTTCCAGTTTCCAGCAATTCTTGATCTTCTGACATTGGGCTGTAATCTTGTTAAGATTTAAAACAAAATATGTGCTTCCAATCTGAACATCCAGGTTTTTTAAAAGAGAAAAATCTCCACGTAGTGTGTCTGGCCTCTATCTCCGTGCTGGCTTTCTCTTATTCTGGACCGCTCGCTCCTTAGAAGCGCGAGCATTTAGATTAATCGTGTCTTCCTCCATACAGTGGCTTTATTTTTCTTTATATCTTTTTCAGTTTAAAACTCTTTTTACTTTCAACCAGCTGATTTTCTAAGTGTGCTCATGTTTTTAATTGTCAGCGGCTCTCTCCTGTCTTCCTCTGACACCCCGCAGTTCCGGGCACACAAAGATTTCCAAAGATACTAGGTTTTGTGGAGGTTTCCTGAATCCCTTCTCTGGCTGGAAGCCTGTTTTTCTACATTTTGATCTCGATCGCCCTCATCTCAACGTTTTGAAGCTGTCGCTCTCGCATGTTATTCACTGCTTTTCTAAACGTGGCACCATCGTCTCCCCCGGCGCTGTGCGCTTGGGGGGCCTGGCCCTCTCTTTGCCTGGCCCAAAAGCGTGTACGTCATTGCTGAGGACCTTGGTAGCTTCGCGCTCACCCCAGATGCTCTCAAGGGATTAGCAGGTGCTGTTGCTGTCGCAACAGCTTCTGAGTCCTCTGCCTCTTTTTTTTTTTTTTTTTTTTAATTACTTGAGAAAGAAATAGCAAGGAGACCATTTCAAGACAGGTTAGTAGGATGTCTGCATCTAGCCCTTCGCCTCTTCCCCAAGCGAGCGCCTCTCCCGGCTCCTCACAGACGCCGAGAGAGTCGCTCTCCTGCGCTTCGGATGAGGACCGTCGGTCATCTCTCCTTCCTAGAAATGCATTAAATCTTCTCCAAAAACAGATTTTGTGCAGTTTCCTTGCTTTCAGTTTTTAAGAATTTTCCCCGCCTCACCCCTGCATTTTCTTTTATTGAGAAATGGAAAAGAGATGCAAACACAAGTTACTCCATCATTTTAGAATAGAATTAATTTTCTCATGTTTAAGAAGAACATCGCACATTTTGTTGTGTAGTGTTCGGGAGAGGGGCAGACATTACTTTGTATTTATTTCAATCTGCTTAGCAGTTACATTTCTACGCTCTTCCCTGTCTACTTAGAGTGGTGACATAGGACACGTTGGAGATCGTGGTACCTTCACGTGTGGTATATCCAGATCATGCGCTGAATGGTTGCATGAGGGATGCGTTAGCTTTCCAGACCAAATCGATGATTTCAGTCATAGATGTTTCATCTGTTTATAGCAAATTGAGCTGGTGTATCCCAAATAGGCTCCAGCAGGCGTCATACCACGCAGCCTTCCCGCCTGGCTCATCAGGTGTGAGGAAATTGTGAAGCAATTTGGGATATAGTGATGCCGTCACATTTAGTTCCCGTCACAAAAGAGAGTAAGCGCACTTGGCGGAGGCTTCTTCGCAGACGCTGGGTGGCTTACTTTGTAGCTGTTGCAGGAGGAACAGTGGAAAGCACGTTACCACTCATCGTGTGCTGCGCCGCGGCTCAAGGGTCCCGCCAGGGGCAGTCAGGCTTGTGAGGTACACGGACACAGAAAGTAAGCCTGAGTAGTTCTAACTCATTGTTCTCACATTCAAACACGTAAGCATCAGTAGAAGCTAACTAGAACTTTATCAGTTGTAAGAGTAGAGGAAGAGGACTGGGAAGACAGCTCAGTGGCTTAAGTGCTTGCCTGGCACGTGCAAGCACCCAGGTTCAGTCCTCAGTACCGCATGTCGTGCCCACCCCAGAGCCCTGGCATGCGGAGCTGGCCACCAAAAGCTGCAGGCTGGTAACTCCTGTAATCCCAGCGCCGGGAAGCTGAGATTGGAAGATCACTACAAGTCCGAGCTGAGTAGTGAGACCCTGTACCAAGGAAATAAATAGACTTAAAAAATAAAAACTTGAAAAAGAATAGAGGAAGACAGAAGAAACGGAACTAATGAAATGTAGAAAAAAAAACATAAGAATAAAAAGAAGAAAAGCGAACAGAAAAGAGTATTTATTTAAATCACAGGTAAATATTTATTACACAAAGTCAGATTGCATTTTATATTGTACATAATAAATCACTTTTAAACTGTACTGCTTTGAAATCTTACAAAAGTGCTTGGGTTTCTGCTCAGTTCGGGTTCGGTCATTGTAAAGTCCAAGCTATCCCTCAGATCTCAGCTGCAGCTAAGACTGCAGGAACACAGTTTACTCAAAAGCGACACTAGTGTCCGCGAGGCATTGCTTTTATGCACGGGCTACTGCGTGGAACCTCAGCGTCCACGCTGGGGACTTCGGATCTTTGTTCTGTGCGTGTTCCTGGCTGCTGTGCTGGGTGCTCTTCGGGTGAGTCACCCTCAGCGCTCCGCCTGGTCAGGTAGATCATGACTTAGTGTTTTATTGTTATGCTCTCAAAGGGTGTTTTTTACAAGTGTACATTGACAATCAGCTTGCAGATTTCTTTCTGATTTATATCATTTACAAACAGTCACAAAATACAGGGAAAGAAAGGGGAATGGCTGCTAATGGTCGGGAACAGAGGTCCCTGGGGAATTAATTCATTTTTTTTTTTCTGACTCCTTAGAAGAAATTGCTGTTAAATTCAGATGAAAATAATTTTCTTTGTTTATTTCTTGCTGGATTATAAACGCCAGCTCCCACTTAAGATCTGAAACATTGAAGAAGCAACTTCTTGTGCTTCAATCTGTGACGAAAGGCACAGCAACAGATCTGGATGCCCATTCATTCAGAACATGCAATATTGGTTCCATGGGATCCTCCCTTTCCCGGCCCTGTCGTGCCCCGGGTCCGCGCGTGTGGCTGGGGCCATCGGCCCTGCTCACTGCTGTGTCTGTGCCTCTAATTTCAGCATGCGGCAAGCTGATGAAGATCACAGGCCCCATCACAGTCAAGACGTCTGGAACCCGATTTGGTGCTTGGATGACAGATCCGTTAGCGTCTGAAAACAATAACAGAGTACGTTGCTTCCCCAGTGCCGTCACTTAGGCGCATCTTCATTTCCTCTTTCTCAGTGAACTCCTTATGTTCTTCAGAGATGTTAGGTTTTTTATATTTATTTTTTTATTGAGAAATAAATATGAATGAGACAGTTTCACAGCTGATTAACAGGACAGTTTTGACAGTCAATACACTGTACATTGTTATCTTCTTAGTGGTTATCCATAGTACAAGAAGCAGAGAGGAGATGTTAGTTTTAACTTGAATGGTGTTATATTGTTTGCAAATATTTTGTTTGATAATAGCAATACATTTAAAGAGATACAGCAAACTCACTGAATCCAATGCCTATTCCACATTCACTAATACAGTAAGTATAACTTCTGTAGATTTGATTCTTACTTTATTTTTGGAAAATGCTTATGAGTATACAGACATAACATTCCCTGTATATTGTTTATAATATACCCTGAAAATAAAATGAAAAGTCAGTGAATAAAAACTCAAGGGCTGACCAACTGACTAAATAAACTAATATGTACCTGCCACTAGGAACAATTTAAGAACCAATGGCATTAAAATTTGAGAGGGAGCATTTTTATAATTTAGTAATGCCTACATTGAATAAGTCAATAAATTGGAAATTTATCATACCTATATTTATGTTCTATGACAGCACTCATTATATATTAAAATTATTGAGGGCTTCATCCAAATAAGACTTGTTATGAAGTTAACAAGTAGGTTGTGTTAAAAGATGTTTACCTATGAGCTGGTCCAATGAATAAATATTACTAGAAGGTTCTGGTGCTCATAAAGTATAAATAAGATAAATATGTTATATTAGAACATACATGTGTTTCAAAGCAAGGGATGGAGCAGACATTCTCTGTTTGTCGTTTTGCAGTGACCGATTGACCACATCAGTCCATCAGGGGATGCGATTTGCACTGGGATGTTTGGTTTACTCAGTGACATGCACTACAGAGACAAAAGTAAAATCAGAGGAATAAAAAGCAAAAACAGATCATCCTCAACACAGGACACTTAGTGGTTTCTTGTCCACAGAGCCCACACCAGTATTTTTACAACAGTCAATTATTGAGTGGGTCAGAGGCTCAATAATTTGCCTTTGCGTACCAGAGAACTGTGACACAATGGTGAATTGTGATACATGCTCTCTCACTGTCTTGCTTTTGGAATGCTCAGAAAGTTGAAATTTTCTTTAGTTTTTCCTTTCCCTTTGTTTTTCCTTGTCCTCAGGTCTGGTACATGGATAGCTACACTAACAACAAAGTTGTACGTGAGTACAAGTCCATCGCAGACTTCGTCAGTGGGGCTGAGTCCAGGACATACAACCTCCCTTTCAAGTGGGCGGGAACTAACCACGTGGTCTACAATGGCTCGCTCTACTTCAACAAGTACCAGAGCAACATCATCATCAAGTACAGCTTCGACGTAGGGAGAGTGCTGGCCCAGCGCAGCCTGGAGTACGCCGGCTTCCACAACGTCTACCCGTACACCTGGGGTGGCTTCTCCGACATCGACTTAATGGCTGACGAGATCGGACTGTGGGCCGTGTATGCAACGAACCAGAACGCAGGCAACATCGTCATCAGCCAGCTGAACCAGGACACTCTGGAGGTGACGAAGAGCTGGAGCACGGGCTACCCCAAGAGAAGCGCGGGGGAGTCCTTCATGATCTGCGGGACTCTGTATGTCACCAACTCCCACCTAACAGGCGCCAAGGTGTACTACTCCTATTCCACTAAAACCTCCACTTACGAGTACACCGATATTCCCTTCCACAACCAATACTTCCACATATCCATGCTCGACTACAATGCGAGAGATAGAGCTCTGTACGCCTGGAACAACGGCCACCAGGTCCTTTTCAATGTCACCCTTTTCCACATCATTAAGACCGAGGATGACACATAGGCCCAAATGGGGTATGTTTATTTATTCAAACACTACCATTTGTGATGAAATCTATAGGACCCCCTCTTTGTGGTTCTTCATTCTTGTAGCTTTTCATCATCTCTCCAAAGCAAAGCATTTTTAAATGTGAATTCCGTGTTTTAAAAAACAGCTGAGTCTAAGTTAATGTGTGAGAAACACATCGCAACTCCTAGAAATACCAGAGCTATCATGTCCATGTCATGAAATGCTAAGAAGAGTTTCAGTGGCTAAAGTCATAGCTTTGCAAGTGATTAATGACCTGCCTTACCTTAGAGTCAGACACTAATGGTGGCTTAAACACATGAATGTCTTTTTGTTTTTAAATTCTGTCATTTTTTACTGTCTTTTGCTCCACATCAGGAAATATTTGGGTAGGAATTTGAATTTAGGAAGAGAAGCACTTTCTTCCCATTTATTTCTAAAAAAATATTTAGTGATTTTATTTGTATGGAAAAATACTATCGATCATTTTGCTGTTAACACGATTCTCTGATGCGGTGCTGTATAGCCATTTTTAAATCTCTTGCTAACATTTTATTGCAGTATGTATTTTTACCATTGTAACCACCATTGTGCAATTGTATTTCTTCACTTCTGTGAAAGTAATATTTTTTATAAAATACACTGAAACTTAATCTCAGTAATTGCTTGAATCAATTTTCAAGTATTGCCAAGAATGGTCTTCTTGGCTTATTCCTTTCCATGAGTATTGTAAACTAAAAAGAAAATCAAACTAGGTATCTTACATTGAGCCTTTATTTTCTGCCAAGCTTATTTGAATACTGATATTGGCCGGAAAAGCCAATTCAGTATAGCCAAGTTCTCTGTTCATCGAAAGCAACTCACTTAAGTTGCCTGAAAAATACAGCTGACTACAAAAGTTGCGTTTGCAATGACCCTGCTCACCTATTACAGACAGTATCCTCATTCCTCATGTGAAATACCTTAGTATTTTAACTCATTTTACGTGCAAGTTACAATCATGTAGCTCCTTGTATTGTAACTCTAACGGGTCCATAAGCACATTAAGATTCTTAACAATGGAAAGTTCTATAATATCCTCTAGATACAGGTCTTGTGTTCTAGAGAGTTATTGGCAACACTTGTACAAAACAAATTAGAGTCTTGGGAACTGTCGGTTTGGCTTTAAATGTGAAAGTAACCAATTCAGAAATGAGACAGGAAGGCAAGTCCTTTCTACCCTGATTCACTATATAACAGAAACAACAGAACTAAAAAGGAAAGCTTTAATAATATACAGGTCATTATTCCACAACATATCAAACTTGCCCTTTAGTTTGGATACACTTTCTATATACCTTTAAGATTTCCCTAAGGCAGCTCTAAGGAAACTAACAGAAAATAATTTTAAATTTTAAAAATATAGCATTTAATAAGTAGTATGTAACTTAAATTGTAAATGTTTAGTTCCATACATATAGAATATCAAACTTTTCTTTAAAAAATAAGGCTATAATTCAAATAAATCGTTGTATGAAGAAATGCTAATACTTAAGGGTAATTCATTCTAAATGTAACAGATACAATGTCATTCTCAAATATTTCATTGTCGGGCCGGGAAGACAGCTCAGTAGAATAAGCACCTGCCTGGCAAGTGCAGGGATTTGAGTTCAGTCCTCAGTACTGAAAAAGAAAATTCATCATCAAAGTTGGAGGTGTACATACCCCAGTCTTGAAAGTGTTAGAGATTAATAAAGATTTGTGGAGATTTTTTCTACAAAAAAAAAAAAAATTGTGCATGATTTGATAACCGCCCTGGATGCTTTTGCAACATTGTTTTCTCCTTCGAAACATTTGTACAAGTTCCTGACTGCTATAGAGAGTTGGAAAGTTTAAGGCATTATGTCGTAGTACACACGCCACAAAAATAATCCGTCAATGATTTATAGGTAAGTTTGTGTGAGAATAGAAAGTACCATTAATTTCAGAAATAAATGGAATTTTTAGATAGCTGGCATCTATTAGATAGCTCGTGCTTACTTGTTTTATAAAAAGACGTTACATAGTGTCATGTCATTCCAAACACGGATGTCGCCGGCTCATCTGTGAGGTGAGCAGCTTGCAAAGCGCCCCCTTTCGTCTGTGTCAGGTCATAGCACCATCTGCGACTTCCTGCGCGTGCGCTGCTGAGCAAGCTCGGGATTTATTGTCACTAGAAGTGGGAGTAACATCAGTTTAAGAAACGTGACTTATATGAAACATGTACAGCTTAAGGGTATTTTTCTTAATGAATTATTTTTAGTTCTGTGCCTACAATAACTACAAACTTACTTTCATCACCGCTTTTTTAGACGTCCAACAAATAAAATAAATTTTATGAGAGAAGTGAGTATTTTTTAATCATCTGTATAATCCTCCTCAGAAAATAAGTCCTAGTGGGAAAGTCTTAGTCTTAAGTGAACTGTGTAATTGGTATTTTCAGAAGTAAGCAAATCAGTAATGATTTCCACGTCATCCGAATAATAATGCTTGCGTTTGTGTGCTGTTTGTGTTCCTGGCACTTGGCCACAACGCTTCTTACTTGTACCTAAGCTTATGTCTCTTGGCTCAGTTAGTGGTAGAACTTCAGTGCACTACAAATAAGTGGAAATAAAAGCTAAATCAGTAGCAGATGCACTCTACACGCAGGGCGCGAGAAGTAGCTGCAATCCCTGTCTCCACCTCAGTCATTGCATCTTCATAATTAAGTTTTTTCTCTATCAAAATTGTATATTCAGGAAATAAGTCAGCTTTTCATTGAGCCTTCCTCCGCCTAGAAAACTGTTCTCTGTATCTGAAACCCACAATAACCTTACAGTTACGTGTTTTTCAAATAGAAGAATTATTTTCAATGTGATTATGTAAATTTGTACACACATCTTCATTTCAAAAGAGCACCAATCATTTCCCCACTAAGGTAAGTTTTACATATGATATTTCTTAAGCATCATTCTCTTTAAAGAATAGATTTTTAAAAGGTATCTGTCCTTTTTTAACTCTTATGATTGCAGAATTCTTCCTGTAAATGTTGTATTTGAATGCAATTGATAGCAAAATAAAAAAAAATCCCTTCAAGTTCAAGCCATTGCAAAAAATATACAACATTTTAGAGTTTCTAAAAACCAGGGCTTTTAGAAGTGGCACTTCTGGAAGCAGAATAAGAACAGCACTGTGCTGACCTCGGGGCAGGCGTAGTTACGGCTTTTGTCACACGGGCAGCGTGAGTTCCTGTGACACTACTAACAGCATTTAGAGGCAGCGTGCACGTCGCCTTTGACCCGACGGGCCTACCTGCACCGAGAATCAGCATGAATAGATTAAAGTGTGGGTGCTGCCAAATCCTACGAAGCCTTGGTCACCAGCTGCTTACTGGTAGATGCCTTCACTTGCACAGCAACCAGGAATAGCTACAGAGCTCTTGGTTCAAAGAACACTGACCATACCGAATTCAAAATCACAAAATGGGTTTTGCTTCCAAAATTTAATCAAATTCAGTGTAAAACTATAACGCTAATACTTTGCCATGATCAATGGATTCAGAGAATTCCGTTGTTAAAGTTGTACTAGAAAGAATAGAATGATAACATTAAGAGATTGAAGAAAAGCAGGTATCAATGAAATATTTTCTTTCTTTTTCTTAGACACTATGAATTCAATTTATAAAAAAAAACTTTTAAAGAATATAAAATTGTTTGATTTACTATTTATCTGATCATAAAATCTGCCTCCAAAGTGAATTGAATGGCTTGATTTGTTTCATTCACAACTGGAAATTTCATCAGGCCGTTTCTGTTTCAGTTGGTCTACTCCAGGCTTAGAGAGATTTGGGGCCTGCTTGGAGTCTGTCTCGCCTCCAGAACATCCACGTAGTTTGGAAAGAAACTTATCTGCTTGGGAGCTCAGGGCATCAAGTGCCAAATCAGCTTTCTGAATGTAAATGGCTGTTAAAAGTGACATGAGATGATACAGAAGGCAATGATCTATGTTCTTCTCAGGAACGCACTACTTTAATAACTGTGAAGGTCTTATTATGTCTAGGTAGAGATATGAAACAATAAAATGAACAGTAAAGAGTTCTTAGGACCTCTCACTGATGAAAGAGCTTTTCTGAAAAGCCGTACACATATATTCTCCAACACTCCCCTGCACACCTACCAAAGCCGCAGAATGCCCAGAAGACCTTGCATCCGATTTTAGTGATTAAAATATTGTCAGAATGTAGACTGTCCTACCGAAACTGAGACTTGCAAATATTGTCTATCTGCAGATTTTCCCAGAAGATGCAGGACAAACATCTGACAGCAGAGCAAGAAATTAGTTCAATGAAATGTCAGTCATTTTAAATTTGAGAACATTATTTTTTCATAGTGCAGTAGCACATTCCCTGATAGCTGTTTGTCTATATCTTTCTTGACTTCACCAGAATTTATGCACATTTCTGATATTAATATATAGGCTTTAAAATTTATAGCAGTCATGTCATGCATTTTTTACAAAGCATTCTTCCTCTGGTATGAAAAACCAAAAGTGTCAATAAGGACCAAAATGTATATCAGGTATTGTGAAATGGGAGGAAAATGTGCAAAGAAAGCAAGGAACAAGGGAAGGCAGCGAAAAGGAAAGAATGGAGAAGCAAGGAAGTGAGAAAAGATGGAAAAATGGAGACAAAGCTTTCGTAAATGGGGAAGGGAAGGGGGTGAAGGGAAGGTGGGGCAGTGGGGAAAGAAGCAAGTTAAGTGATGTACAGGCATAAACTCTATGATGAACATGATCATTATGTATATCTAAAATGCACCAATAAAATCTGATTGAAGAAAAAATTAACAATATAAAGTATGATGCTTACAAAGAATTTCTGCATGTAGAAATAACTAGAAAAATAGTTATTTAAAAAATAACAGGGCTATTGGATGCTCTCGGTACTAGGAACACAGCTGCCAACAAACATGCTGTGTGTGTCTATGTTCTGTTGGGAACAGGCTACAATGGAAATGACAAAAATGGCCTCTTATTGGATTAGCTGCTATTAAAAAAACTTAAAAAGTGTTTATAATAGAAGATTATTCGATGCTTCCCAGGGAGAGTGAGGTAGGAAGTGATGTCCACAGAGAATAGTTAGGAAAGGTCTCCCTGAAATGCTACACACCTTGCTAAACTCATCTTAGTGAGGAGCCATCATCATTTGATCCACATAGAAAATTTGACCTCTTTTCTTTTTGTTTTCTAGAAATTCATCAGTCAAATAATTCTAATGTTATTGTTATAGAAATTCCATAGTTTTGATATATTTAATTCTTTATCCTGGATTCAAGGCTCGGTTGATGCACTGGCTGTCATATGTCACATTCAATGTAGACCAGGGCTTGCACATTTTTTCGGGTAGAGGATTTTCAAATCGTACCAGATTTTCAAAGAAAGTCGTGATCCAAAACACCATTGTTCTATAAATCCCACCATAATTTACCCATAATGCATCATATTCTAGTACTTGTATCATAGCATTGAGTGTCTGTGACCATACTCGAAGTTCTCTTATTAATTTGATTGTATATTAAATGAAATTAGCATTCTAATATTATCTTTAAGTTGCTTTTTGGTTTTTTTCTTTAGAACTAAAGATTGGTCAGATGGTGAGATAGCTCAGTGGACTAAGTACCTATTTAGGCAAGCACAGGGACCCCAGGGACCAGGGTTCGATCCCCGGCACCACATGCCATGCTGGCCCCACCTCTGGGGTGCGTTGAGCCAGCCAGAGACTGGACATAGTGACGCATGCATGTAATCCCAGCACTGGGGAGGCTGAAAACAGGAAAAGCACTAGGAGCCCGAGCTTTGTAGTGAGATCCTGCACAAAATACATTTTAAAAAGGGAGAGGAAGAACTAATGATTAAATTTTTCCCAATTAAAAAGCTCTGAAGAGAGTTTTATTATATTTGAACTGTATACAGTTTTATTTTATGGTCCAGATTTTTAGACAATGTTGTGATAGATTTAGTGACAAGAGAATTTCTACTCCAGGGCCTGTCTTAGATTTATTTGAGTCTGGAGAACATTCCCTTCTAATTGCAATGCAGCCTTTTCTCTGCACTGCTAGACATTAGCTAGGATAGAGAGGTGCAGTGTTCACTAGCAAATTTAAATGGAAAATCCTTTTCTGAAATTAACTACTGAAGGGGCAGTTAAGCAGAAATGAAAGAAATTAACAATTACCTTAGGTTAGAAACTGTTTTAGTTGAAGGCTAGATCTAGGGTACAAATTCACAATTATGTTTTAAAATTTTCTTATTATAAACACAACCAACAAAACTCCAGCGATACTTGCACAGAGTCATGCTGAGTGAGGCAATGAAGCTGCCTCTGCCTGCACTATTCTCATTTGCTTCCTTCTTCACAGAGGACTCGGAAAACTTGTGCATCATCTTCCCTTCTATATTAACAAGAGATAACTCGCAGACATACATTCATTCTCTAATGTCTTTATTAAAATCTTTTAAAAGCCACTCTTAATATATGAAGTACATATCAAAAAATAGGTAAACCATTTCTTACATTATCAAATTTTTTAAAAGTTAAATTTAATAATGTAAGTTGACGGTTACTTAAGAAATTGGCTCTCCACAACTATCTTCCACCTTGCTTGGTAGGTAACCCCCTGTCCTCAGTCAGCCCTCTGAGCTCCATCTACAGGTCCAGAACCTGACACCCTGCTTGGAAGTGCATCTTCTGTTTACTGACCTCCAATTCCTCTCTGTTTGATCAAATTTTCCTTTTTGTCTGGCCAAGACCCACTTCCATGAACAAGGACCTCATGGGCTATGGCTTGACTAAGAAAGCCCTTATTTTCCAAGACACAAGAATTAGGAGGGAACTTCTTATCTTTCACAATTTATGCTGGAGATTGAGTTCTTACCCTTTCATTAAATGCTTTTTATCTTTCACAATTCACAAAAACTATCACCTTATTAATGAGAGCTATACCAAGGTCATCCACTGGTGCTCCCACAGCATGGAATTTACATTATCAGAATTATCGCTCCAAATTGTAACGATCTATTTCCTTCCAATCACTGTAGAATCAAGACTGGGGTCAATGAATTATTTTACTTATATGCTAGTTCCATACACAGTGACCAGCACAGAATAATATCACAATAAATAATCACAGGAGTGTAAGACTAAGGTGTCACTGGAATCTCTATTGGATTCTGGAAACATCATGAGACATTAAAATCTGTAAATCTATTTGAAAATAAATTTCTATTTCTTATTAAAGTAAGATTCTATTTCTAATTCAAATACATAAGAAAGTGTCAAAAATAAATATGCTGAATATTTTCTCTTAGCTGAATTGTTTTTTTCTGGATACAGTAACAAAGTGGCTTAAAGTTCCACCACAC